TTTTCACTCTGAAAACTCTTTGAGTGACTGTCCTTTTTCATTAGTTGAGGCTCCTTATCAGTGACCTCTCTTAGCTCCAGTCCATTGTCAATCATTTGTGTTTTCATCTTGTTCTGTGCCTGTACCAAATCCAAATATATTAGACTAAACTCACATAAGATGGGCATCCCTTATGATCCTCAAGGTCAGGCCATAATGGAGAGTTCACATTACACAATTAAAGCCTATCTTCATAAAACAAAAAAGGGGAAATTTATATAATTTACATAATCACCTTTTTCTTGTCCTTTATATTTTAAAATTTTAAACTATTGATGGTGCTGCTCGATCTGTGGCCAACAGGCATTTGGGGCCCTCAGTCATCTGAGTATGCCTCAGTTATATGGAAAAATGTCACTACTGGACAGTGATGCAGCCCTGACCCAGTTCTAGTGTGGGCCCAAGGGTCGGTTTGTGACTTTCCACAAAATGCAGATAACCCTGTTTGGGTGCCTGAGCATCTGATTCACCGTATGGGGAGGGGCTATGATTGTAGCAGCCAGCAAGAAGGTCCAATAGGCCTTCATCAAGAATCCACCCATTCTGAGTAGCCCTGTGTGGCCCCTTTTTCCTGACCACTAATTATAGATTGGGTAAAGCAGCTATAAATTATACTTTGGTCCAAAGGATAAGAATTTTACCTTCATTTTAGGCACTTGTGTTCTGGCTCCCTCCCCCCCCCCTTTGTAAATAATGCTACTAATTTTGGAGGAAGTCTCAATTTTTCCCAGCAGGTCTGCTGACTGGTTATCTGGTGGACATATGAAGTAACAGCTGTCGTGGGTCACATACCCCAGGTGGTAGCTATGCTGGAGACCTCTACAGATGACCAACTTGTGAGGCATAGAGGAAAGGAAATTTCAGGATCAACAGTTTCAAGGATAGTTCTCTCCCAATCTCTAAATACTGCAAGCATAGTGATTAACATTCAGGTGAATTGGATGAAGCCTTAGCCACCCAAAACACACTTGAATATCTAGTACAAATTGGCATTTTTAAACTAAATTGACAAACTAGCCTCCAATAGGAACCCATTTGGCTTCTTCTTTTCTCTCTTTCACCCACATCTATGTTATACCTGCTAAAGCTAAGAATGCATCAGTTGTAGTTACTTTTCTCCGGGGTTCCTGGAGTGATCAGTAGTTAAATTATACACGTGCTTTAGCTATGCAGATCATTAACATCAATGAAACCTGAGTACCACCTGCCAGTGCAAAAGACCTTTTACAAGGACTTCAACTTGCTGGCAGATTAATTAGAGAATGAGCAATCTCTCTCTCTCTCTCTCTCTCTCTCTCTCTCTCTCTCTCTCTCTCTCTCTCTCTCTCTCTCTCTCTCTGGGGTTCATAGCCCTTGCCCTTGATGCTATCTGCCTGATCTGCCTACACCACCACATTAGACAAGCCCAGGCCAACTTTCAAACAAGTCAGATCCTACTGTCTTCGGTTCAAGAGAGAATGCATTTGCCCAACTATGACTGAACCTACAGACAAACTGATCACAAGAAACCAGTAAGGCAGAAGGCGACAAATAGCCAACCTAGAGGTTACAGGCCCAGGTGACCTCTCCAATGACGAGTAAAGAATTATGCTGAAGTCCTCTGCTGCCTAAGACAGGTGTTAGTTTATATTAAAAGAAAGGAGTATCTGTAGGACCCTGCACTGACCCCAGAGGCATCTTGAGCAAGCCTGCAGCTGTTGGCTGGAACATCTTGTCCCAGAGCTGTCAATGTACTCTTCCTGTTTTGCTAACACGTACCTGGCAGAGAGGAGCTAAGCCTGAAAATCTTGTTATTTTCCACTGTGCTGTGAGTCAGTATATAAGCCCACTCCATCCGCTCAATAAATGGCATTCAGCATTCCGACATTGCTGTTAAACATATAACCCACTGTCTTATCTCTTATTTCAATCTTCAGGCCTTCATCCAATAAGTGGAGCAAATTGTAGCATGGGTGTCACAATTAGGAACAGCCATAATGTTTCCAGAGAAGTAAAGATGCATTAAAAGTATTTCCAACATTCAAAAACAGCTGAGACCAATACAGACTGAATTTGATCAGAGTTTTGAGGTTTCTCGGGAAGCTGTTGGGATTTTCCATGCCTCCAAACACCAGAAAACAGTTTAGAGAGAAGTATGCTCACATTTACAAATATTGTTTGTAAATTATTGTTTTCATTCAAATGAGGTTGGTTATATATGGTTAATCATCACTGTCAATGTCTTTAAAAAAAGGAAGTATGATATAGAAATAAATGTTTTACCTTGGCATGAATTTTGGATTATTGATACAAATTTAGGTCTATTTTGTTATATGTACATTTATATTCATGTTTAGATATTCTGTTTATACAACTCTTTTAAAATGTAATGTATAATTAAATATAGATTAGAGGTAGTCACCTATAATAGTCATAATTTATAGCTTGTTAGGCTCTCTTTATATATACATATGTATATATGTATATATACATATATATTCAGAGATATATTAAATATTAAAAGTGAATTGTTATTCTTGAAAACCTTTCAGAGGCCTACAAAATATGGCATTTAAAATGGTTTATTGGGATTTTCATGAAAATGAGACACAACTCCTCCTGGCAACATCAGTTACATCAGAGAGAAAAAACAGGCATCAAAGAAACTCATTATGGAGGTTGCCTTCAACATGGCAAAAATAGCCATTTGGACAAGAAGCTGCTCTTACCTGGATTACTTGACAGCATGCTGTCCAAACTGGATAAGCAGGTTGCAATGAAAAGTGACTGCTGAACTTTCCAAGGGAGAGAATGATACTTCAAATTACCTGCTTCATCAAAAAAGTCTGCCAGAGATTCTGGGCCTATGAGCTGAAGATGGATGTTCCTATGTTACAGAGGAATTGCTGCCCAGGCAGCAATATATCTTTGTCAATTCTACAGTGTATATTATCCTTCTGGGGCCTTTGATGGAGTTGAAGATAGACAGTTATGATTATGGTTTTCCTTAACTATGATAAAAGATATGTTACGTATAAAACTTTAGACTCACAAAGATAGGATAGATGATAGAATGCTTCCTTTAAATTTTGACTAGTGTTAATGGATTAAATATTGTTAACTATAGTTCTTGCTTGATAACTTTTGTTATATATAATTTTACTATGTTAAAGTTAATACATTCCTTTTTATTTAGACAGAAAACAAGGGATGCTGGGGGATGTCCTTCTGTATGCTGTGAATATACATTTCTCTTATTGATTGATGTACAGTCAGGATGTAGCCAGGGAGAAAGTATAGGCAGGGTTATCAGAATAAAAGAATTCTGGGAGGATGAAAACAGAGTGAGTAGCTGCCGAGGGAAACAGAGGTCCAGGCATCCTAGGCAAGCCAAGGCCATGGGGAGATTCACAATTAATAAAAATGGGTTATTGGCTAAGAGAGAGCTAGTCAATAAGAAGCCTGATCCATAGGCTAAATAGTTTATAACTAATATAAGCTTCTGTGTATTTATGTAGGGCTAAATGGCTGCAGGATCTGGTAGGACAGAAATGTCCTCCTACACCTCTAGTCTCTTCTCATTCATATTATTCTTTATGTTGTTGAATATGTTCTCATACTGTTGTCTACCCATCTCTTCCTCCAGTGGCTACAGGTGGGGCCTGTGATTCAAGGTGTTTCTTTTCCTCTAATTGCTATAGGCGGGGCCTGTGGTTGTTCTTCCTCTCCTAGTGGATGTGAGACCAAGGTTCCAATGGCAGCAGATGTGGTGCTGCTGAATGGGGAGGGTGCCTAGGTCTCTGAGGATTCTCTCCAAGTGTGGCTAGGGTCAAGGCTCCATTGGCAGCAGATTTGCTACTGAATGGTTTGCGGCTGCCCGGGTCTCTAGAAGTTTCAGTGGGTAGGACAGGCACGTGCCCCAATTAAGGGCCTCCAGTGGGTTTGGGAGGCGCTCATCTATCCTGATAAGGGTGGGACCAATGCTCAGACGAGGCATATGGATTGGGGCTGTCCCAGGTCACTGGGCTTTCGAGGGGAAGGATGGGGTATGCAATATGCCCAGCTGAGGACTTCCAGTGGGGGACGGGGTGGGCAGGAGAAGGAAGCCAGGCACTTACCTATCCCGATGGGGCCAGAGGCCTGTTCTTTTCTAATGAGACATCAAAAGGATGTAGATGGAAGAGGACATAAGTGTATCTAATAGTAAAGTGAGAGGAATCTGTACTCAGATAATATAAAATGAGAAAAAAAATCTTTGTTTAATAAAGTGGAAGAGAAAATAAACTCTAACAATATTGAAGATTACCTCATCAACGTCATTCATTTTTAATTGAATTGATTCAGCATGAAAGATAGGTGTCACAATTTTTGTACTATGCGGCAAGAGGAGATGACAATATTTATATACTTGGTTGAGATTGTGGCTAAAATGTTAAATATAGCTATTTGTTTGGGGTTTTTTTTTTTTTTTTGGAACAACTGAATTCACAGTTTGTGGGAAATTATCATAGAAGAAGAATTTTGATTCTGGCACAGGGGAAGCCAAGTTGTCATGAGATATTGGCCACCAGAAGCACTAGTTTTTGTTCAGCCATGGTTTTAGTTTGCCTCAATTAGACTGCAATATCCTCAAGGTGTCTGTGTAGCTGTAACTAAGCAGCCAAAGTTCCTTGACAGGATAAAAATGCAAGAAAGTCAGCTCTATTGGCAGCCATTTCCTGGTGTATTTGACTGTCATCTGGGCACAAAAAATGAAAAAACCTACAATATGAAAGTTGAACACTACAATGGGCCAACACAGCATGGTCAGATTATGTAGTCTGCTAATTCAACCATCTGACAAAATTACCATCCTCATTTTGGCCAGTCATAGGAATACAAGGTGCTAAATCCTCAACTTTCTTTATTAATTTCTTATAGTGGTAATTCAGTAAAATTTGAAAGAAAAGAAAAAAGTTATATTTTGCATAATCACACTAAAATTAGGGAAAAGGTTGTTTTCTTAACCATACCAAATTGAATATGGACAAAATTGAGTAGTGTCTCATAAGAACAAAGGGTCCAAAACAGGGAAAGCAAAGAGAAGTCAGGCGGGAGATGTACACAAGCCACCAATTGTTATACAAAAAAGCAATGCAGCCTCGCAAGATGGTGGAGAGAGTATAGAAAGCCAGAAAGGTAGATACCAGTACCAGGATGTTCTGGGTGGCCCTGGCCTCAGGGGAGGATCTACTGGAACCATGAGAGCTATGGATGTGTTGAACACTCTGCTTGTGTCTGTAAAGGATGATGATCATGGAGGTGCTGGACCAGGTGATGAGTACAGCAAAACAGAATTCAGGGCACATGACCAATGCAGTATAGAGTGAGTCTATTATTGGATTCCGCTCTGAAATAAAGCAATATCCCAAATCTCTATCTCTTGTCATGTTTTTGTCATTCATTTTGATAAATGTATGCATCAAGAACATGAAGCGTATCAACATGTAGAAGACCCAGAGTAGGGAAACGGAGCAGTTAATGTACTTTGTAGCTTTAACTTTATGATCCTTGCAACGAGACTTCCTGGAAATGATGGTCATTGCCTGGAAGACACTCAAAAGACAGGTGGTGCCAATGGACACATTTCGAGCAAATCCTTGAATATACAATAGGAGTTTACACCCAAAATCATTCAAGAAATGTTTAAATCCCCAAACTGCCATTGTGTGGGGAACTCCTGCAGAGAAAATGACCAAGGCGTTTGCTGCCACTAGGTGCATGAGAATCAAATCTGTGGGCTTTAATATGTATTCCCTACAGTAAAGGACTAGATAGTAGAAAATTAGAGAGAGATTTCCAAGAATTCCAGCTATAGTTTGTGATAAGAAAATTATTCTGATTGCCAGATTCCAGATATTCATTCTGTGATTCAGCACAATTTTCTTAAGAACATAGTTACACTATGTCTCGGGTCATATGAATAATGGCAAATGATGGTAGCCAGGGGTGAAGAAAGATGCCATTAATACATAGAGCTCAGAGATCCTGAAGCCACGGGTCCTTTAAACTCAGGAGTTCAGGGTCATACTAGAACATTTAAAAATGCATTATCTCCAAATTTTTGACAATAGTTATTTTCCATGATTGTTACTTTGCAGTTTCTCAATTCTTCAGAATGCAAGTGTTGATGGAAGGATATTCACTAAGTTTCCTGGAAAATGCAACACTCTGGATGAAGGGATGCTGAGCAATGTGGCAAAGGAAATGTGACAGGCAATGTAAGTCAATCATAATGTAAGTCTCTCAGAGTATACAGGTATTTGTGAGTCATGTAGTTAAAGAAGTCAACTTCAAGAACAGCCTATAAACTTAAATAAAGTAATACTCTTCCCCAACACAATATTTTTATTGATTACTTTAAAAGTAATTCTTAATATATTTCACCTAAAAACAAAAGATACTGAGAAGTGTATTACTATACAATACAAAAAAAAATCAAGTCTTGTGATAGGGCAAAAGTTACTCATCTTTCTCAGCTGGAGTGGGGAGTGGGGGGGGCAGTTAGTGGAGAGGGAACTAGGAGAAAGAGAAGTGGAGGAGAGGAAAGCACATTGGGCTAGGAAGACTGAGTCAGGACAGGAAGAGAAGAGAGAGAGAAACACACACACAGAGAGAGAGAAAGAGAGAGAGAGAGAGCATAAAAGAGGGAGACATTTATAGTATTGAAGAGAAAACTGAACCTAAAGAAATGTCCAGAACCCTACAAGACTGACCCAACTAACAATTTGAGCAACAGTGGAAAGGCTACCATAAATGCCTTCCCTGATAATGAGATCGATGCCTGACTTATCCACCATCATGAAGCCCTTATCTAGTACCTGATGGAAACAGAAGCAAACACCCAAAAATAAACACTGAGTCAAACTAGAATCTAGATGCAAAAAGGGAGGACTAGAACAGGCTACAGAAACACATAGAGACAGCTGACCTGAACAAGGAGGAGCTAATAGGCCCCCAGACTGATAGCTGGGAATCCAGCATGGGACTGACTCAGACCCCCCCCCCCAGAACGTTTATCTCAGCTAGAAGGCCTGAACAGTCTAAGGGTCATCATACAGTGGAACCAGGATGTATTTATGGAACACAGAAGGACTTTGTGAGCACATCCCCTAGGAAAGATACTCCCTTACCTTGAGACAGGAAAGAATTCCTAGTCCCTACTCCTTAATACTTGACAGATTAGTTGACCCCTCCCTAAAGGGCATCACCCTACATGTGGAGCTGGGGTGGGGGATGGGAGTGGAGAGTTGTCAGGGTGCATGTGAGTGTGGGAGAGGGGGAAAGAAGGAAGGAGAGAGGGAGGGAGGGAGAGAGGGAGGAAGGGAGAGAGGGAGAGGGAGCTGGGATCCACGTGTAAAATAAAAATAAAAACTAAAATAATATAAAATAAAATAGGTGAGTTACAGTTAACAAAAGTTACAGTTAACAAAAAGGAAGAAAATAGAAAATGTATGAGTGATCAAAATTCAGAAAACAACTAATTGTGTGTGTCAAGTCAAGTTGTAGTTGCACAATGCAATTCCTGCACTCTAGCCTCCAGGAACATTTAGAAGAGGAGTAAGAAATATTTTAATAACCATAGAAATTTTTATCTGTTATAAGATTGCATCTCCTAGAATGTTGGGAAAACTATACCCATGAAGTCTCAACATGGCTGCTTAAACAAATCTGAATAGTAACAGCAATAGACTTGCTCAAATGGAGGTGGGGGGGGAATTCCAAAAGGCACCAATAACCACATTTTAATAAGAACCACACATATGAGCTTAGTTTTACATCATCCAGTAACAGTCATGGAAACATTTATCTGCAGATTACCCAGACATTCCCAATAGCAGCTTATAATAAATTAACTGGTAGGCATAAAATATAACTCTACATAACAATTGCAGCTTTGGGAGATTCCATATCATCTCAGCCATAGGGCCAGGGCCAGTGTATGGCTACTGTGGCCAGCATTGGCACACACAGAGATCACCATTTCCAGGAACTGTGTAGCCACCTTAACCCATTTAACCATTGAAGTTTGAAAAGTCTGAAGAAACTGCATAGAGATTTTGCTATGCTGGCAGAACACACCATGTCTCATAGTTTGCAGGTGCAATAGTCTATGTTTCTTTGGTATCCAATATTCATCAAAACACCATCTGCAAATTAATAAGCAACTACAAAACACAATCTAAAACCCAACCTTTCTGACAGAAGTGTTACAAAGACCTTGAATGAAAAGATGGAGAATCTTCTCCGTATATGAGGAGAAGCTTGCAGTTGAGGTTGAGATGAGGCATTCAGCAGAAGAAAAATGAGTTTGCCTTCATCACCTAAAAAGTGGGGGTTGGTTACATACAGGAGGAGGAAAAGGAAGAGGCATATACCAGGGATTTCTGGAGGCAGCAGTTACTATGAAAAGAAAGGAGGAATTGGAACCAAAAATGATGAATGAAATTGTCTCTACTCCAGCACATGTGGCCCATGGGGATTAGGAAGGTATGATACTGACATTGCCCAAAAAACAAAAACAAAAACAAAAAAACACAAAAAACAATCAAAACACCTTTAAAAATTGATGACTGAAGAAAGAATAAAAGACAAAGTGAAAAAGTCATATTTGGACAAGAGAAAACATGACACTGAGTGTACACAAAAGCAGCTAAATCAACACTCTAGACTCAAAGGTCAGAGTTGGACACAGTATTCTAAGACTTCCACAACATACCAAGCACTACCACTAAAAACAATGGACCTTGGGGATTTAGATCACAGCCATTTCACAAACCAGGATAGTGTTGTTACTTTTCAAAATCTGAGTCCTCTCATGTAGAATTCCATAACAAGTTGTAAATAAAAAATGTCTTTAAAATGGTCTTACTGTTGCAAAGATCACTAAATGATACAAAATGCATCCCACAATGGTTATCTTCCTTCTATCTGACCCTCTGAGGAGTTGCTCTCAAGTGTTTCCTTACCTATAAACAATTTTGGAACATTTCCAAAAAATTCACTCATCAGTGATTGGGAAGACAATAATACATTCCCAAAGAAAACTTAAAATATACACTCACACACAAGGGAAATGTTCTGTAATCTGTTAAATATTACCAACATGTCTGTTCCTTACAAAAAGAAACATAGGTCTGATTTTTTTAATTAATAAAAAGGAACTGCTGAGAAACTAACTGCATTGTCTTTGCTGTATGTGTTAAATTCTAAGACTTGCTGTATAGCTAAAATCCCTCTAAAATATAGGGTTATGATTTTTGTTTCATTAGTTAAAAATGAAATGTTGAATAAATAGGGTAAAAAAGATACAGAGAAAGAAGGACACACACAGAGAGAGACATACACACATACACACACACACACACACAGAGAGAGAGAGAGAGAGAGAGAGAGAGAGAGAGAGAGAACACAAACACAGAGAATGTATTACTTAACTTTTTTGGATGAATGACACTGGTGTCATGTAATTAAGCTCATGTAATCGCTGTTTGATACAATGATCCTCCCCCCAAAAATAAAAGAAAACATCAAATATTTGTGAACACTGATGCTGACTAAGGTATGATTTCACTGAAAAGCTCTCATACCAGTATCACAAACATGTCTGCTATAGTTTTACTGCTTCATCTGACAATCATACATGTAGGAAATATGACAACCAGGATGCACACTTTTGAGGAATGAACAGGGAAAAACACAATGTCATTGGAAACTTCGTTTTTTGATGGTTTATTTGATTGCTGTTTATTTTGTTTTGTTTTGTTTTGTTTGAGACATGGACTCTCAATATAGTCCTGACACATGCTATGTAGACAATGCTGACATTGAACTCAGAGATATCCTCCTGCCTCAATCACCTGAGTGTTGGGACCAAAGACATACATCAGAATAAGAGGTTTCTTGAAACCGCCTGAAACAGAGTACAAGCTGATCCTACATTCAAAACAGCTGGACAAAACAGCCTTACAGACTACAGCCAGGATATCTGAATCTTCTTCGAATCCCCCAAGACAGCGCCCCTTACCAGCAGGAAGTAGTTTGGAAAGAACGACGCCCAAATTCCCAAATATTGTGTATAAATGTTTGTTTTCATTTAATTGGACTTTGTTATATAAAATTAAATAAAAAAAGAGGTTTCTTGAAAAATTTTTGAAGTTCTCTATATGAGGATCATAGATCTAGGCTATGACATTAATCAGGTTACACACTAACATGGAGCAAGTCAAAATCCAATATCCATGGCACATCTGTGAGGATGGAAAGAATTACTTACATTATTGACAAGATGCTTCATTCTAAAGTCTGCCCAATCCAGAAATGAGTGCTTGTCTTCACATCCATAGGATTCTGGACATAAAAGTACAGTTTGATCACATCCATTGAAATGCAATATGCTCACTAGTAAATATTCACTTTGTTCTATTTTACTAAGAGTTACATGTATAATGGCAAATACAACTTTAAAAACATGATTATTGTATGCCTATCAGTCTGAATTACTCAACTTCTAGAGCCTTTGATCCCTGATAATGTCTCATAATGTGTATCAACACAGATATAAATTAAATTGCTAGTGTTGAGATCGCTTTATTAATCTCCTCCCTTAATAGTGAACAGAGTATTATTGTACTCATTGAACAAAACTCCCTCTCACATGTCCAGAATCTTCGATCATACTTGATCAACTTCTGTGATCTTTCAGTTTCTTATTTTCATTGACATATTAGACAGAAATAACAGCAATTCCCTAGTAACTCAGAAAGCTAGTAAGCCAGTGTATTACTTATCTTGTTATGACTCATATGCATTCTTGTTCTCAAAGAAAGGGTTTAAGTTGCATTCCTCAAGTTTTCTGCTTTCCAAAGCTCTC